ACATTTGTCACGTAACCAGTCAGTATAATTGCATGAAAAAGAGAATTATCGTGCAATTGGCCCTCTTGTCTCTGCTGTAATATACGATTATATTATATTATCATGAATCGTGTTACAACAAACTGTATCTAATGCTGCGTGCGTGCGAGATGTTATGTGGATATAAACTATTGTTAATCTCATGAAATTGTATGTTTATAGTAATATTTAATTTGTGTGTAATTATTTTAGTCGTTATATTGAAAAGTTTTTTGAAATACTAAACGTGGAAAAATACAAAATAAAAAGACTATTTGAAAATACACACTAAAATATTTTTATATTTATAAATATAAAATTTATAATGCAAAAAGAAAGAGAGAGAATAAACAACTGCATGGATACATAATTTTGACTAATAATTAAAAAAAAATGTCTGTACTCTTTATATAATGAAGTAATGAGAAAAAAAGTTTATTGTTGCTGACTATGTTAAAAAATGCACTTTGATCATCGTATGACTCTCTTCTTTCGCATTGAAATTAACGAAATTAAAGATAGCAGTGCCATCACATTACATGAGATGAATCGCAAAGAGTTCCACGGTAATTTGACATTATCTTTTTAATAATATAATACATATTATTTTTGTTTGCTTAATTTAGTTTGTCCGGTGCGTTTACTTATTATAAATTTTTCAATACTGTTAAATACAAGAAAAATACAGTTCTTAAATTAATTTAGTACCTTTTATGACATATTGACATAGTATTAAAATAAATATTATTAAATCGAAGGTTGAAGGTAAAGACTATTTCAGTATTTGGACTAGGGTCGATGGCCCCATGTTATGGAATCGCTTACTCAAGAGCAGCGACATATTATTACAACTTCTATTGACAATCACGAAATGTAAAGCAAATTATTATGTCACAAAGCAGCAAGTTTTATTTGCACGCAATCTAATCTTGAATTCATTTCGAAACTACTAGTCGGATAAATCGCAACAATGTATATAAATAGCTTCATTTACAGTTTTTGTTTTATCATTCTCTTATAACTCACTAAATTATTAATACGTTATATTTACTGGCTTATTGTTGAAATTTAAATTTCTCTAACATTAAATACGATTGTCTATTTTTCTTATCTCATATTAAAAATATATGATATTAAGAGACTAATTACTAGAGATATTTAACGCTAAATATGAAAAATGAATATTGTCAGTAATATTGAGATTAATTTAGAAGCGAATACCATTTCGAGATCTTCTGTATTGCTAGACCTTTTGTGTTTCGAGACCTCTTATAAGTTATTCAGACCTTGAAAGTCTTCGGTATACATTGCGTCATATTTTCTTTCCATTAAATAATGAACATTCTCGAAAGTGCAATTTTAATATTTTGTAAATTTAAGATTTATTCTTATCTAATAAAAAAATAATAAATTTTTAGTGCTTTTATAAGTAATAATGCTTGGTAGAAATATATTAATATGAACAAGATCTAAATAAAAATCTACATTGAGTAGATATTAATACGATATTTTCTAAATATCTCATTTTTAAGATTTCTAACTCTCTCAAATTGTGAAAATATACCGGCTCCATAGTTATCGAAATTTTTTTATTACATTAATAATTAATTATACTTATTCCAACCATCGTCGCAAAGCAATACTTTTTGAACGAAAAGAGAGACGATTTTAATGATAGTTTCTTACCTGCGCGAAAATCGTTCGCCGGCATGACGAAGCGTCTCTCGAATACAGTGTCACAACACCACAAACACAAATGTCTCGGACGGACAGGTATCAACACGGCGGAGAGAAAGAAAGGGAGAGGGACACCCGCACACTCCGTCAGCCGGTCTCTTTGTGAGCCGCGAATATGATCGTAACTTTGTTCTATCGCGCGAAGAAGACACGTGGTTTCTGCTCGCGTGATGTAACAACGCGACTGTACGCCCTACTTCGTCGCTTGCTATTCGCTCGTATATTAAAATCAGGCGGGGATGTTAATTTCAGAATAGGGAGCTCCCGCAGGGAATACCAACGTTATTGTATATCGCGTGTATTTGTCAGCAGTAGCTGACAGTGGTTGTCGAAGCTTTTATTATCAGTCTGTACGCCGACGTATACTTTTAAGTACATTCTCTATATACATTAGATCGAGATTAAGAAATCTTCTGCGTCGCGAACAATGCTAGGAAGTAGTTTTCTGTGCAATTAAGTTTTCAGTCTTTATCGTTGCTTATGTAACAATAACGAAAAAACTCGAGAATCCGTGGGACCGTCTGAGAAACTGAGAAACAATTGACTAAGTATGGCCTTAGTAATATCATTCGTAACATACTGTAGCTTACTCAATTCGTTTCATTATACTCTTATTCTTATCTTTATCTATTTTAATTACTTTTTCATCTCCTTTTCTTCTAGTTTTTCTGCCGAATTTGTAAATTTTTTAAAATTGAAATTACATGTGCCTTGCAATATCTATTTCAGAACATTGATTGCAGAAACTTGAAGAATAAGATTCCTAATTTTGGAATCGAATATTTATGGCATCATATATTTCGCAACAATGCGCGCTTTGCTCTTTCATATATGATCACCGCTATTTTTATATCTTTCTAGCACGCCTCCAAACCGTCTGTATTTTCAGGATTCAATTATATACGAGACTGCCTTTTTTTATTTTATTTTATTTTTTTTTATAACAGACTAACATTTTTGGACTCGTCGATATATATTCGACGCATTTCCTATTTTCAGGCAAAAAGTTATCGATAAAACGCGAATAATGAATTTTTAGTGAGTTTTTTATTCTGAACCAATCTGGTTATGCAATCTGAATATAAAATATTATTTATATCTCATAAACTTATAAATATTGATAATAAATTTACACTACTACTTTTAAATAAAATTAATTGCACATTTATAAATGAGTATTTGTTATCATTTTAAGCTACTTGCAAGTATCTGCGAATCACACAAATTTCAAAACTAATTTCTAAAAAATTAATAATTTAAAAAAATTGGCGCTATTTTTTTTTTTGGTAGAATATAAATACTTGCGAGAGAAAAAGAAAAATCACAATTTGTCAAAATATCACGTGGAATTTATTTGAAGTCACATTTTATTACAATCGGAAATTACTTATATAAATACACGTTGCAGTCATGTAATCCAAAATCCGATCTTATCCCACGCCATCGTTCGCGCGCAAAATAAGGCTTGCGAAACTACAGAAAATCCACCACGCGATTTCGCACACAAGCTCTTAAAGTTATTGTTATCTACAGAAGGGGGAGAGGAGGGATATATATGAAACGAGCGAGGAGGTCCGAATGTGTATCTTGTATTTACATATACATTAAGTCGCGGAGCGTAATTGCAATCGCGTTTACACACATACATACACACATACACACGTACGCACGCACAGACATGTAGATCGAATATACAATTAAAACTTTGGCGCGACCGACGGCGATGGAGGCAATTTCCTGAATTCGCCGAGACTAATTCCGTTATTTCGAATTTCGTCGCAACAGGGATAAGAGATGTCGGCCTTAACGAGCTGCATCGCGTACGCGTACGATATGATGGTGGCGAATTTGGTGGAATTGCGGAGCGAGCGAACCGGGTCTGCGTACAACCCATAAATTCGCTAATAATTAATAAAAAGCGTGGCGATGCGGCCGCTGCGGAGTAATGCATGCGAGAGAGATTTTCTTCTTCACGTGCGCTTCGCACCACGAACAATAACAAAAAGAATAAAAAAAAGAAAAGAGAGAGAGAAACGAGAGTGCGAGACAATTAGTATCCTAAATTATATGTTACTAAGCAAGACAAAATCACACGCCATTATAGTGCTTCGCTATATGTTACAACGATATAGAACGATTATCTTCGAAAGTACCAGAGATGTTAAAACTACGTAGCAAAAGGATATAAATATTCATGTATGCGTCACGGCCGAGCGTATCTCAAATGAATGTTACGGACGTAAATATTCGAATACATAATACTAGCTATTTTGTATATATTTTAATTTCTTGGAGAAAATTTTCAAGAATACGCTTACTTATAATAGTACTTGGTTCGTATTTTTTTCATTTTAAAGTAACATTTTTAGAATATATAATTTATAATTTATATTTTGCATTTTATATTTAAAATGCATTTCTATGTCATGTTTCGCTCGGTCGCGATGCCGTCAAATAACAAATAATTATGTGATAACAAAAACGCGCCAGAAATTCTACATCTATCGCATAAAAGCGAATGAGAATGGTACGTTGAGGCGCCTTATTACATCGAATTTTTGTACAAAAATAATTTGTCAGATTAATCTACAACAGGGAAGTCCTCTCGTCGCGTCTTTAGGATTCTTCCTTAGGGTTACAAGATTTTCGAGTGAAACGTTTTCGACGAATATCCTGAAAGCAGAAATCCGTAAAGTTCGAAGCCTGTCCGATCTTCTTCCATCGCGCCCCGCAAGAGTTTCTGCCGGAACTTTTACAACGTCCTCTTTTTCAGCCGAGGAGGAAAATACCAGCGCGATTCAGGATTTCCCATTCAATTTGTGAATCACCCACAGCTGGAATATTTCGATCCCTGAAAGAGAAAGTGCGTGATATAAGCTAGATTCGTAAATTATTCGATAAAAGTGACGCATTATACATAGCCCGAAAATATCCAGAAGATATTTGAGTTGAGGCGAACTGGACGAAAATAAAACAGAACAATCGTAAAAAATGCTTTGGAAATATGCCAAATTCGCGGAACATTGATGAGATTTTTTACAAGAAAAAAACATTCGCATGAAGGAGCGAGGTAGCTTTCCACTTTCGTCAAATCATTTTTTTCAATTAAAAATGATTTTCTTATATTAGAGAAAAGATTGTTTAACATCATTTTTAGATTATTATCTAAGATATAAAAAATTTAAAGTGATAAGTTATTTATAATAAAATTATTCAACGCATTAAATATGCAAAGTGCACATTTCTTTATGGAAAAAATTTATTTTTAATTCTGATTTTTTACCATTGTGTGCGCTCTCCTTAACTTTTTAATGATAGATGCCGTATGAAAATAATGCAAGGTTTAACAAGTTGAGAAAAGGACATACGTGCGATTCCATCTACGTCTCGATGCCATTGAAAGTTTCCATGTCATGCGTAGCACTCTCCTGATTTTTCGTCTTAGGCGAGAATAAACATCGATAAATCAGGGCCACAATTATGGCACCTCCGATCGGCCCTAGCCAATATACCCAGTGATCATCCCAGTGATTATTCCAGACCGCTGGTCCGAATGTCCTAGCGGGATTCATACTGCAGCCGGTGTAAGGAGCGAAAGCCAAAGCAAGCATAGTGATGCACAGACCGAATTTTATCGCTACCGAGTCGGTGTTTTTCGCATTTCGCGAGTCCCAAATTGCGCAGGCGAAAAAGACAAATATTCCCGTGGCTAGAACCTCAATTACGAGTCCATGAACGACCGTTAAATTTGTATTAATATTCGTTGTGCAGAAGGAATGGATCGTATTATTGTCTTTACCATCGTACAACAAATTCTCCGGCGTTATCATCTGTAATCAATATTTAAAAGAAGAGTTAATCATATGATTAATATTATGGCAAAATATTAAATTAATCACTGTTTTTTAAAAGCTTGCTATTATGTAAAAGTGCAAAGAATAATTTAAAGCAATTACAATTATATTATTGCGATCTATAAAACGTTTAATTTTCCGAAAGATTAAACGTTGCAATTAACGAGCTTATATAGATAATCTTTAAGAGCAAGCTCGAGCGAGTCCAAGTAATTGTCAGATTGTAACTTTGAAATAACATAATTTTTTATCACAAGTATTTGTGATTTTCACGTGAGAGGTTAATAATATCTTAAATTGATAATTTTTTATATATAACGCGTTATAAAAACACGATATACGATATAAAAAAAAAGAATATCAATAATAATTCTTTTTGGGTGTGGTCGCGCCGAAACCTAATTTGAGTGTCTACTGCAATCTTAAAGAGTAAATGAATATGTACATATTCATTGACCTTTAACAAACCGTAGCCTACCAGGCTACCCAAGCATTGTGCAACGATGTAGAATCCGGCCATCAGGAGGGGCTTATTGCCGAGAATCACCGTGGCCACTGTAATAGCCGGATTAATGTGAGCGCCGCTGATATGGCCAACACTCTGAAAAAAGAGTGTAAACAAGCAACGTTTAATCGACGATAAGATTCGATAACGTCGCGTCTCGGCGCCTGATTTATTGTGCTAGATACTGTGTTTTATATATTTTTTACATATATATTTTCCTCACAAGATGTTATATTATTAAAGAAATCTCTCTCTCTCTCTCTCTCTCTAAAATAATTTAAATATAAAATATTAATGAGAAAGATATGAAGAAAAAATAATATAAATGCTGCGAAACAAACGTATTGGCGCATCGCAAAACAATATTATTTTCAAGAATAACACACGTTAATAGTCAAATCACACGAATAATTTATACCTGTACTGCAATCATGACAGCGATACCGAAAGCAAGGCCGGTTTGTATGGCTGGTGGCGGAGTTTCCAAACTGCCCACGCATGCTGTGCATCCTAGAAAGACCAGCATTGCCGTTCCGATAAATTCTGCCAGAACGGCCAGCAACTTGTCCCGCAATGTGCTGTCTTCTTCCATCTTTTTCAACCCTGAGATATAAATGGACATTTCGGTCTTTAACTTTCATCAATTTATGCGCGATATCAATACATTGCTACATTTTTATTCATTGCCGTAATAAATCTCTTTAGTAAAAATGATTTTCTTATATTAGAGAAAAGATTGTTTAACATCATTTTTAGATTATTATCTAAGATATAAAAAATTTAAAGTGATAAGTTATTTATAATAAAATTATTCAACGCATTAAATATGCAAAGTGCACATTTCTTTATGGAAAAAATTTATTTTTAATTCTGATTTTTTACCATTGTGTGCGCTCTCCTTAACTTTTTAATGATAGATGCCGTATGAAAATAATGCAAGGTTTAACAAGTTGAGAAAAGGACATACGTGCGATTCCATCTACGTCTCGATGCCATTGAAAGTTTCCATGTCATGCGTAGCACTCTCCTGATTTTTCGTCTTAGGCGAGAATAAACATCGATAAATCAGGGCCACAATTATGGCACCTCCGATCGGCCCTAGCCAATATACCCAGTGATCATCCCAGTGATTATTCCAGACCGCTGGTCCGAATGTCCTAGCGGGATTCATACTGCAGCCGGTGTAAGGAGCGAAAGCCAAAGCAAGCATAGTGATGCACAGACCGAATTTTATCGCTACCGAGTCGGTGTTTTTCGCATTTCGCGAGTCCCAAATTGCGCAGGCGAAAAAGACAAATATTCCCGTGGCTAGAACCTCAATTACGAGTCCATGAACGACCGTTAAATTTGTATTAATATTCGTTGTGCAGAAGGAATGGATCGTATTATTGTCTTTACCATCGTACAACAAATTCTCCGGCGTTATCATCTGTAATCAATATTTAAAAGAAGAGTTAATCATATGATTAATATTATGGCAAAATATTAAATTAATCACTGTTTTTTAAAAGCTTGCTATTATGTAAAAGTGCAAAGAATAATTTAAAGCAATTACAATTACATTATTGCGATCTATAAAACGTTTAATTTTCCGAAAGATTAAACGTTGCAATTAACGAGCTTATATAGATAATCTTTAAGAGCAAGCTCGAGCGAGTCCAAGTAATTGTCAGATTGTAACTTTGAAATAACATAATTTTTTATCACAAGTATTTGTGATTTTCACGTGAGAGGTTAATAATATCTTAAATTGATAATTTTTTATATATAACGCGTTATAAAAACACGATATACGATATAAAAAAAAAGAATATCAATAATAATTCTTTTTGGGTGTGGTCGCGCCGAAACCTAATTTGAGTGTCTACTGCAATCTTAAAGAGTAAATGAATATGTACATATTCATTGACCTTTAACAAACCGTAGCCTACCAGGCTACCCAAGCATTGTGCAACGATGTAGAATCCGGCCATCAGGAGGGGCTTATTGCCGAGAATCACCGTGGCCACTGTAATAGCCGGATTAATGTGAGCGCCGCTGATATGGCCAACACTCTGAAAAAAGAGTGTAAACAAGCAACGTTTAATCGACGATAAGATTCGATAACGTCGCGTCTCGGCGCCTGATTTATTGTGCTAGATACTGTGTTTTATATATTTTTTACATATATATTTTCCTCACAAGATGTTATATTATTAAAGAAATCTCTCTCTCTCTCTCTCTCTCTCTAAAATAATTTAAATATAAAATATTAATGAGAAAGATATGAAGAAAAAATAATATAAATGCTGCGAAACAAACGTATTGGCGCATCGCAAAACAATATTATTTTCAAGAATAACACACGTTAATAGTCAAATCACACGAATAATTTATACCTGTACTGCAATCATGACAGCGATACCGAAAGCAAGGCCGGTTTGTATGGCTGGTGGCGGAGTTTCCAAACTGCCCACGCATGCTGTGCATCCTAGAAAGACCAGCATTGCCGTTCCGATAAATTCTGCCAGAACGGCCAGCAACTTGTCCCGCAATGTGCTGTCTTCTTCCATCTTTTTCAACCCTGAGATATAAATGGACATTTCGGTCTTTAACGCATCATCAATTTATGCGCGATATCAATACATTGCTACATTTTTATTCATTGCCGTAATAAATCTCTTTAGATGTTTAGATCAATTTTTAGTTTTGTTTATAACGAAGAGAAGGGGAGGGCAGAGCAAACCTATACGAGCATTTCGTAAAAATTTCCGAAAAAACATGCATGTCGAATCTTTATCTATTTAATATTTACGTCGTTTATATAAATGCAATTGAAAAATTTTTATGAATAATAACAATTTATAATTTATAATATATAATTGTATAAAATGTAAAATTTGGAAGTTAGAATAGAAAAACCAAAACGCGACTACACGAATAATTCACGAATTGCCGCAATGAACGAAAAAGATAAAACGCAGCTTTATGTTACCATTTTGTAGAAAAAGCTGCTCGACAGTGCGTCACCTCCGTGCTTTTATGAAAAAGTATGAAAATTTGCGCTCTCATTACCGATTCGGTCGCATTGTGCGCCAGGACGGTGGCGTATTTAATTAAAAGGTGACTATCGTGCACGAACGAACAGTCTCGACCAAAGTATACATATTTTTAGTTCTGCGCATTAAACGAGCCGAAGCCAGCCAGATTGAATGTATAATCGAGAAAGATCAAGAGGCAAAAATGCGCTCGCGCTGAATGTAACCATGTAACGACGGACACTTCGTTTTTAAAGATGAATAAAGCGTATGTAAAGACGATATATGCACGTGTATTAAAATTGTCGCCCACGGCTTATGCGCGGATTTCCTGAATCGTTTGCGTAAGAGTGAGAAAAAAGATAATAAGAGATGATTCAACAGAGTTCTACATCTCTTTAAGCTTTTTCCACAGATAAAGGATATTAAAGCCACAAAGTGGCAAGATTATGCTATTTAATTAATTTTGCATTTAAAAACTTGAAAAGAGCAAGATTCTCAACATCTTTCCGTATTAATGTTTTTTATTCAGAAAAAAAATTACTTTTCCTGACATTTTTATATTTGCAATTTACGATGTTTTCATATTACGATTTCATTTATTGAAATGTATGTTGAAATGATTGTTCTTCGATGAATTTCAAAAGTATAATAATGTGCTTGATGCAAAAGTGTTTTTGGATCGACAGGCAGGATAAAGTTGGACTGTTACTTTATTGTAAACTTTTGAGTGAAAACTTTGTTCGCTCCACGTCGAATACGATTACCATTGGTGTAAACCTAAAGTAGAAAAGAGCAACGAATTTACATGAAAGCATTGGCGAAGTTATGCATATCGGAGGTCGAGCAACTCTAGCGTTGTTAAAGAGAGATGCTGGACTTCGATAAGTATCCTCCACTCTTGTATATCGAAGCACTTTGCGTTCTTTCTCTTTGACAGGATGGTATAGTTTTCTTCAATGTATATGTTCGCATTAAATTTTCTCGATGTAATTCTCGCGAGAGCCCGCATTATAAAATTTTCACGAGAGTGTTGTTGAAATTTTTGCCCGAGGTCAAAAGTTAAACTGAATTACAATTTACGACAACTAAATTAAACTATGCTCTTTGAACCTTTAACCATTGTAACGCCCATTATTTTCGCATTATTTTACTACGCAACTTTCATTTATTTTATTCCGGGTAATTTAACTCAATTTTAAAATGCAAGAATTAAATTATTCATAGTAGCTATCCATAGTAGAAGATGAATTCAATTCTCTCTTTATCTATCTTTCTGTTCGCGAGAGAGATATTGTAATATGCGAAATATATCATTAGTTATCGCATATTGAGTAATATCTCGAGTCAATGTTTAGTATTTCAGGCGCCAATGAGAGAAAGACGGTCGAATAATCAGTAATCAGTGCAGCCAAAGATCATGGCTCTGTGACATTTCTTCTCGTTCTATGCAGCTTTGGTAAAATTTTATAATTATTTATCGGGGTATTATTAACATCATATATATCAAGCGACGCGACGTCAAGTATTATGAAAATCGGCGGAAATATTAAATTTTTAATTTTATCATTGGACAAATTTCATTGATCGCGGTTAATAATTTGTTTAATGTGATAGAGGTAATAATAAATGATTCAATTATTATATCTTGCTATATGTTACATTTGCACAATTTGCTTTTCTCGGACGGATCATTGAAAGACACTCGCGCTCTCCCGATTTCCATTCATATGATATTCATAACTTCACATACGGATGTCAATATCCCTTGGCTTTAATCGTGCTTATACATATACATATCTGTCCGCGTTTCTGAGCTATGCATAGAGATGCCAAAGCACGTTTACTCTAGAATTACGGCCGAGTCGTCGTGATTAAACGTGTATCGCACGGATATAATTAGAAGCTACCACGTGTCACGTACGGTTTCCATTAGCGTACAGGCTTAGTGTGACATAGAGCGAGACTGATAGTAATCAGTCATCGACATTCGCGGATTAGCCGGATTTCGATATGATGACGGGAACGCAAACCGATGTACTCGAAACCGTTCAAAGTCAGTGTTTATCCTCTCAAAAGCGGACATTCTCCATTCTCGGACATCATATCGATTGCATGCGCAATAAATACTTGACGTATTTCACGACGTAAAGTACATAAAATTTGAGAGCAGACCAGATATAAGTTGTCATATAATTCTCTCCATTTTGAAATTAAAAGCACTCGTGAAGGTAATTATTGCGAATTCCAATTATCTAATTCTAACGATTAGAGAAAAACTAAAATTGTGATACGTCACGCCATAAAATATAATTATGCCTGAAAACTTATAGAAAGAAATTTTTATAATATAAAAAGTTACTGTATACGCGTGTATTCAATTTCTTTACGCTTGATTTTTTTACGCTGATATATATTGTCAGACTATTTGTACGAAAAAATTTCGTTTTTATTCATTTCCTTCGTTTAGTTATTTATCCAAGATTTTGAAAAAAAATAATCCGACGATTTTGTAAACCCGGTTACAGCAATTAATCGACATAAAGAAATTAGAACGCGCGTATGGCTTTACGAGTTCTCTTAACATTTCGCTAATTTATCGCCGGTTAATGATCCGATGGTCGTAAACACGACAAGTACTGGCGGAATAAAGTGTAGAAAGCCATCGCGCGCGTCTTGTATATTAGGGCCGAGTGGGAAAAACGCATGCGAGACCACGTCGAAATACGGTATATATCTATATATGTATATAACGCAGAGTTCAAGGAATTATATCTTGTATCTTCATCGTCGAGACGTGCACTTTCCAAGTTGCGAGTAACTTGAACGCGATATCTCTATTCGTTAATTAAAAAAAAATCAAACTCCGGGGAACGGAGGCTGTCGGGTAATTAGCAAGAAAGTGCCGGATCGTAATTACGGACCGAGAAAGTAATCGACGATTATAGTTTGCCGAGTGAAATGTCTCGTATTTCTGTATATAATACTTTGCCCTCAATATATATATATATATTTTTTTTTTTTACTTTTTTCTCATTTTCTTTGTACTAATGAGGATAAAGGAAAGGGGGAGAAGTTTGGATCGAGAAAGTGATGCGCTTTTTCGATGCATTTTCATCGATGCACCATCTACAGTATCTCGCAAACAAATATGAATTAATGCCCATTGCTTTTAACGTCTTTCTCTCACTCTGGAAAATTTCCATCGATATATACCGACCACAGCGTACATAGTTTTACCAGCTATCGATAGCGTATGAAAAGACAGTAGGAATCTATGGTATCGTGACTCGTGACTGGATTGATAAAGTAGCAAAATGCATTTTGCGTGCGTGCATATTGGAATAGTCGTGTTATTTTTATATTAATCATTTGTAATATATTAACAAAGGTTCGGATTACATATCAAAAGTAAAACAATATATTTAATTAATTTGATAGTGATAATATTGTAATTTGCTGTAATTTAATAACAAGCTATTATCGTTACAGATAAACAAATTATTATGATGTGATTTTTTTTGATTAAATTATAACCGCATATTTACAAAAGGATGAATTACAAAGCTGCATGTTGCACGTGAGTTTAAGTGTGGAAACTTGTATAATTAGTGAATCGCTCAACTTTTTGTAATTCGTGGTTAATTCTCCGCGCAACGCGCTTGATAACTAGATAACGTACGCGAAAAAGGCAATTTACTTCGACAATTTAGTGTAAGAAAGATATTCTCAATATGCCGCAAATTTCAACGATCTCTAATAGCGACGACGTACACGGTGAAATTTCCATAAATCAACTGCACCGAAAGGGTAGAAAGCCAGTTTTTGTCGTAACGCACGTTGCAACGTGCGATGACGAGCGGTAAAGTATGCTTCGCGTTAATTCCCAACGCCTATTTCTTCCTCGCCACATGTTACGAGAAATTCGAAAAAAACACCTTACGACAAGCTCGTAACTGCTCGTGACTTTAAAACGGCTTTATATTTCTAGTAATATATATGTCACAATGTGTACGCATGTCACAACGATCAGAGGAACAATATTTGATCAACTCGTTTAATCAACTAGTAATCGATATTAACAAGACGATAAGATAACGCGAACGGATCATTAATTACCTTCCATCTCACGCACGTGCATAGACATACATTTAAAATTATGTTAAATTACACAGTTATATGTTTGAGACAAACGCACAATCGTTCGTTTAATAATTCCTTTTATAATTCTCATATCAGATGTTTTAATGTAGTAACAAATACGACGATCGTAATATAATTTTTATACTTGTGAAAAAATATCATTTCTTTCATCTCATGATAATCGCGACGCGATATAAACCCAAGTATAAGAACATATATTGCATCGATTATTCTCATTACTAATTCCATTACATGCTGTTCGCTATGTTAATTAACCAATGTTAATAAACCTCCTGATCTTTAGTCAAAATTATGCGCGCTGTATCCGCCTCCGTAATTACAATTCGTAATGCGCTCATATTCTACCGATCAATATTAGTAAAGCATTTCACCAATTACTATA